TCTAGGGATTTTATAGTAATTTCCCTATAGATCTACTAGACCTATAGGTATATTATGTAGTAAATTTACTACGTAATCCTATAATAGTTTCCCTCCTTACGTATAATTTAGAACTACTAATTACCCCTATTATTTATTAACTGCCTATTAATACGTATAGTTAACTATATTACCACCTTAGTAATAACTAATAATTATATTTCTACTTATAGAACTAAGACTTCTAGTCTAGATAGAGGGAGAAAAGGGGATTATTTATACTTATTTTCCTAAGGTTATTATAGATTTCTAGAGGTTTCTTCTAGATTCTAGGTTATTAATTAGGTTTATTATTTAGGTTATTATTTAGTTAGGTTATTATTATAAAACACCTTACTTATATAGTTTACTTAGTGTGTTTTATTCTTAAAGTAACTCCTTAGGAGAATAGTGTTTTTCTTAAAAGTACTATTCTTTATATAGTAATATTCTTATCTTTTATAATTTATAGTAGAATTTAAAGTAGTTATATAGTTATAAAGTATATATAGTATATATAGTATTATTATACTATGAATATATATTTTACTTATATTATCTACTTTATTATTCATAGGTTTTATATAAGATATAAACCTATATCTATAGGATTAGTTTATACTACTAAATTCACTATATTAATATATAAGGGGTTAGCCTAGTTACCCTTTATAAGGCTATATATAGTGTATTTTAAGCACTTAGTGCCTGAACTAATTAATCTTTTAGTAATACTAAAATAGTCTATTAATAGGTATAGTATACTACTTATACCTTTATAATTATTTAGGCACTAAGTAGGTCTTCTAGCTAGACAGAGGCTAGGTTTAAATCCTAACTATTACGCGCTCTCTTTAGTGTAGGCCTTAAGGGGCTAAAGGTTATTAATTAATAGATTAGTTAGCTAGGTATAAATAAGGGGCAGCTTACGTTAGGCTTAGAGGGACTAATATGTAATAGGTAAGCCTAGCGCTAGCTAGGGGTCCCCTAGCTGTTACTAGGTGCTAGGCGCCTAGGGCCTTTAGGGTTAATATAACCTTATGCTCTAGCGTATAGTTACTAGCGCTAGTACATGTAGGCCTAAAGCGACTTAGGACGCGTTACATTAGAAGGGGGGTAATTATAAGGGGTTAGCCTAGTTACCCTTTATAAGGCTATATATAGTGTATTTTAGGCACTTAGTGCCTAAACTAATTAATCTTTTAGTAATACTAGAATAGTCTATTAACAGGCGTAGTATACTACTTATATCTTTATATAATATTATAATAACTTTACTTAACTATTAATAAGTTAAAGACTATAACTTTAGTCTTTTTTAAAAAGCTTTATAATAGTTAGTAATAAGTAATAAATAAGAAGTAAAAGTAAGACTTATAAGTCTTTTTTCTAAAAGCATTCTAGCCTTCTATAGGCTAAATAGACTTCTTTTTATTTTACTACTTTAAGTAGTATAAGAGGAAGGTAAGTAAATTACCTACTTAAAGAAGGCCTCTACTATACTATATTACTATAATATAATAATAGACCTCTTTAATATATATTATTTAATAAGGTATTTAAAAGAATATTAGTAGTAAATAATTAGTAATAACTAGTAGTAATAAGTAATAAAGGTAGTAAAATATAATATAATATTATATAATATAAAAAGAATTAGTTACTTATAGTTTTTTATTATAATTATAAAAAGAGTAAAGTAAGTCTAAATAATTAATTAATAAACTTAATAAATAACCTAGTTATATTAAGTTAATTAAGAAATAAAATAATAATAAGTAGTTATTATATAATAATAGTCTTTTTATAATATACCTATATAGTAAGTTATAGATTATAATTAGTTATATATATCTATAAGTTTTCTATTTTTTTAATCTTTATACCTACTTTTCTTTGTATATAAACATAAACTCTTCCTCTAAAGAAAGCTAAATTATCTTTACCTTCTAAGCTATCTAAAAAGACCTAGAAATACTTATATAGAAAGTAGCTTATATTTTTAAGGTCTTTAAATTAACCCTCTATTACTAACATACTAAACATATTATATAAGCTAAGATATATTTAAAATTAAAGAAGATAATAAAAGTAAAAGAAAAGTAATTTTTAAGAAGATTATCAATCTAATTAATTAAGAGTTTTTACTATAATAAGATAATATATATAATATAGCTAACTAGCTTTTAAATAAATATAATATAATATATATTAGACCTTAATATAAGAGGGTTAGCTAAGGGCCTAGATTAAAATATAGATAAAGGTTAAATTAATTAAATTAATTAAATTAATTAAATTAATTAAATTAATAAGTAGAGGTATCTATAGATATAGAATTTAACTTAGCTACTTTAGCTAGTAGGCTAGACTAAATAGTAATATATATATATATTCCTAGCTAGGCTAACGTATTACTAATTAGTTAGTAATTAACTAATCTATAGGCATCTTGCCTCTTAGCCTAGAGATATTATTATACTTAATAAGTAAAGAACTTTATATAATAATAGCCTTAATTAAAATATATAATTTTAATATTAAATTAACTTTTAGAAGGCCTTAGCTAAAGATCTTATAGTTAGATATTAATTACCCTTATAAGTGTATAACTATTTAATTATAGTAACAAAACAGGTGACCTGCGTACTCTTTTGTACGGTCGTATTTCTTAGTGGTTATAAGCCCAGCTCCCAGCTCCCAGTCAATTGACTGAGTTCAATACACAGTCGCAACACACATAATAGAGGGTCTTTACCTAGGAATCTAGGGTTTCTACCTCACATAACGTGTCTAAGGCCTATAAGCTTTATAAGCCCTTAAGGGGGTAAGTTAGATATTAATTACCCTTATAAGTGTGTAACTATTTAATTATAGTAACAAAACAGGTGACCTACGTACTCTTTTGTACGGTTACATTTCTTAGTAGTTAGATATTAATTGCCCTTATAAGTGTGTAACTATTTAATTACAGTAATAAAACAGGTGACCTGCATACTCTTTTGTACGGTCGTATTTCTTAGTGGTTATAAGCCCAGCTCCCAGTCAATCTCAATTAACTGAGTTTAATACACAGTCGCAACACACATAATAGAGGGTCTTTACCTAGGAATCTAGGGTTTCTACCTCACATAACATAACGTGTCTAAGGCCTATAAGCTTTGTAAGCCCTTAAGAGGGTAAGTTAGATATTAATTGCCCTTATAAGTGTATAACTATTTAATTATAGTAATAAAATAGGTGACCTACGTACTCTTTTGTACGGTTGTATTTCTTAGTCTTATAATTATATAAGGCTAGTTTTTACTTATATAAAATATAATTATAAAGTATAAAATATAAAATTATAATATTTATAATTTTAATAAAACTAAGTTCTTAATAAAAATACTATTATATATAAAGATTATTATAACCTTTAATTATAAAAAAGGCCTTATATAAAGTAGCTTAATAATTAAAAATAAGTTTTTATTATTTAAAGTATATATATAATAACTAAGTAATACCTTTATATATTATTATAAAAAGTAAATATTACTTCTTCTTTTAGTATTAAAATAGCTAATATTTAGCTAAATAATATATTTAACTAAGTAAAAATAAATACATAATAAATCCTTAATAACTATAATAACTATATATTAACTAAATTTAATAATCTTTATAAAAGATAAAGAATTATTACTTTATATATACTTTTTTATTTATTATATAAGCTATAGCTTCTTAATATAAGTTACTTTAGCTTATTAAAGCTTTTATATAATAAGAAACTTAAAAGAATAATATAAATATAAATTTTATATATTATAAAGAATAACTTCTTTTTTACTTTTAAAGTAATGTTTTTTACTTTAATAAAAAAAGAATATATAAGCTAGCTTTAAATAGGCTAGCCTTATACTTTTTAACCTAAAGTAGTTATTTTTTATTTAGATTTTAAGCTAAATATACTAATACTTACTAGCTTACTTCTCCAGTTACACTGCCTCATGTCCCCTATCTAACTAGTTTAGACTTATAAGACCTAAAGACACTAACTATAATACTAAAAGGTATATAAAGTACTAGTTTATTAAAAAAAGAATATCTAAAGATATTAAGAAAGCTTACTAATACTAATATATAAAGTAATTAATCTTTAAGTTAAAGGTATTAGTAAGTTAGTATATAGGCTTACTTTTATTAAGGCTAAGAACTTTAGACTTTATATAAAGATAAATATACTAAGTAAGTATTAAAAAGCTAAAAAGACCTAACTATATCTTAAAAGATTACTTAATATAGCTGAAGTAAAGGTGTTATAATAAGAAAAAGATATTATTAAAGCTAAAAGTAAGAAAATATCTTAAAAAATACTTATATAAAAGGTAGTAAGCTATATATATAGTAATATAGTAATCATAAAAAGACTAGACATAATATATAAACCTATAAGGTAGTTTAAAATAGTAATAAAGAAGATAGTAATAAGTAGTTTTAATTAATCTTATATATTATAGCTTAATTAACTTATAAAAATAGTAAAAAAAGTAAAAGTAAGTATATAACTAACTATAATTTATAACTTATTATATAGATATATTATTAGATTCTTATTTATTTATTATTTACTATTTAAATACTTAAGTAATAACTAATTATATACTACTACCTAGGGGGGGTATATAATAAGGAATAAAGTAGCCTTATATAGAATATTACTATATAACACTACTTCTAGTATAATATTACTTTATAATTTAGAAACAAGGTAGTGTTCAGGTATAAGGTGTAGCGTAATACTATCTAGAAATAATAAGCTACTTTTGACTATATAAATTACCCCTATTACAAGCCTACTTTGTAATAGGCTCCTACTAACAGATCCTTGTTACAGCCTTAGGTCTATTGTCTTATTTGTCCTCTTTATAGTTTTGTTACAGGACAATGATTTTACTGTCATCAAGGCCGCTATACTTGGCTTGATTTTAGCAACGATGCTTCTGTGCCTAGGCATGTGCTTTGTCGCCGGCGGCATGCGAAGAGACGAGGCCGAGTTCAGTGAGACTGTCAGTGAAGCTGGAACTGGTCTTCTCTTTACAGCGTAAGTGGACGCTTTCCGCCAAGACTCCAATGGCAGCCGGCTAACAGCGAACAGAGGCGTCACCTTGGCCGTTCCAGCCGTCTTCAGTTACTCCATGGCCTCATCTCTCACTGTCAAGCAACTTGAAGACAAAACAATCCACATATCGCGGGTCGTCTCTGTTTTGCAGGTAATAGCTTACGCCGTCTTCGTTTATTTTCAAGCCCGCACGCACCACGGCATCTACGCCATCTTTGAGAAGGACGAGCAACGTGAACACAAGAGCTGTGAGCATGTCAATAAGCCCAAGCTTACTCTAACCGAATGCATTATTGGTCTTGCAGTATCCATTACGCTTGTAACGTTCATGGCAATTTACCTCGTTGAGCAAATCCATACCATTGTTACGAAACACAGCGTCGTCTCAGACCACCTTATGGGCTTGATTCTTGTACCCCTGGTTGAAAAGGCAGCCGAGCACCTAACGGCCGTCAATGAGGCTTGGGATAACCAGATGAACTTTGCGCTATCCCACGTGCTAGGCGCGACGCTGCAAACAGCGTTGCTGAACGGCCCGCTCATTGTCATTGTTGCCTGGGCACTGGATAAGCAGATGGACATTGTGTTTGAGGTATTCGACATCACCATGCTTATTCTTGCTATATTAACTGTGGGGAACTTCCTACACGATCAGAAGTGCAACTACCTTGAGGGTTTCCTTTGCATTATTGCCTATCTCGCCATTGCAGCTGCAGCTTACAACTACCCAAACCCGGAAGGCGTAGGTGAGCACTCGGTCGTTGCAGGGTTATGGATAGAAAGGGTTGGATGGTGCTTTCGGCTGGCGGGCGGCGGGTGGTGATCCTGATGTGGTCTCTCTGCTCAATACAAAATAGTAATAATCATCAGCCTCAAGGGCATAAGCAATATTAATCTTGTCTTATCGCTGGTTTGTTTTTTGAGTGTTAGTGTGTGTATAGAGTGCCTCATCAAGGGCATAAACTATTGGAAGTTCCATGAGTCCATAGCCTTCAGGCGCCGACAAGTCATGCTGCACATGCCTGCCGAGTAATAACCATCTTGGAAGGCGATGTTGAGTGTTAAATTCAGAAGTTAAGTTATTAAGCAAGCCATTGGCAGGTTATATGAACTTTAGGAAACTAGAAATTATAGTCGATCTCGTAGAGCTTTCTGCTTCGTGATCCTAGTAAGAGTGATGCCAAACCAATGGGGAATAACCACGTCAAAGAAGCGTCTATGCCCCACGAGGAGCAGCGAAAACACAAGAGGTATCAAAGAAATATGTGAAAAAAAGAGCAAACTAACCCACTCATGCCACTCTTCATCAGTGTGCAGTCGAACTCTCGCCCTCCCCATGCGAGTGGCCATGGCCGTTGCCGTGCCCATGGTTACCGGGCTTCAGCATCTTCTTCAAGGTGCCCGGGTCCTCCAGAGCGTCCAGCGCCTTCTGCGTCGTGCTCTTCACCGGCGCGCCGTTCTCGCCCGCCTCTTCCATGCGCTGCAGCGCACTCTCGTTCGAGCTCATCGAACTCGAGCTCGGGCTGCGGTTGAGCACCATGTTGACCATCCTGCCCTCCTTCTTCTTGGCCTCCACCTGCTCCTTCTTGAGCTTCTGGAGCTCCTCGTTCTCGCAGTGCATGACCACGATGCCCAGTCCGGGGAGGTTTGCTTCCAAGAACTCCTTGAGCTTGGGTAGGATAGACTTGTCCGGCCTGTACGTTCCTGAATCGTTGTCGATGAACAGCTGATAGTACGACGGGTTGTGGGGAGGGTGGGCGTTCGGCGGCCCGTCGGGGAGCTCCTCCGACGGATGTGTCCTCTCATCGGGCTCTGGGTCGTCTGACGCGTCGGGCTTCTCCAGCCGGCGAACGAAGAACTCGCCCGAGCATGCAATGTAGGTCTCGACGTCGCTATGCATGGTGTGCTTGCTTAACATGTCGATGCTGAACTCCTTGCCCGTCTCGGTGAAGCGGAACACGCCGTCGAGCGTCAGCACGTAAGTGAATATCCGACCCCCCTCATCAAAGTGTACCAGCTTGAGGAACTGAAGGGCAGCCTCTTCCGAGCGGGCCCTAAAAACGCCGTACTCGGTCGAACTGTCAAAGTTGTAGACTCTGCTATGCTGCTTGTGCAACGCCTTGTTGAGAATCCTGCCTCTCAAGCCGCTCTTGGCAAACATCAACCCGATCATGGGCCTGAACTCGACGTAGCGGTGGTACAGCTCGGGAGGCACCGGCCCCGATAGTTGCATCTCGTTGGATTGGAAGCTGCGAGCCACATTAGCGGGGAGGGCCTACCAGGCCCGGTGCGGAAGTACTCTACTCACTCGTATTTTGTCGTCTTCTTGCCGTCCTTGTCCTTGCCCTTGCCCTGGGACTCTTCGAACAAGTCAGAGCGGGCGTCGGCCTCCTCGTCCCTGTTGACCTTGATTCCGGTGAGCCGCCCAATCATGGGACTGAAATGTTTGAAGTACGAGGTAGGACCGATGGTGTACATATGCGCATACGGCGGGTCCGACTTCCCCAAGACTTCCATGCTGATCCACAGCCTTGGCGACATGTCCGTCCGCGGGTCGAAATGGCTGGTGATGGCCTTGACGAGGTAGGCTCGTTTACTACCCATGCGCTTCTTGGCCACGAACTCCTGACCCGGCTGCGGATACCCCTTCCAGTCCTCGCCGACGTAGGGGACTCTGACTGTGACATTGCCAAGGCGGTCATCATGGTCGGGCCAGTCCTCGTCATAAATACGGCATTTGAGGATGAATCCTCCAGCGGGGATGTTGGCCACAACCCACTCATCGTTCCACACAGGCTCGGTGGTCCGCCTCTTGGTCTCGGTGCGGTGAACCAGGTCAGGGTCCTCCTTGTGTCGTTTTGGCACGGCCGCTCTGAGAGTGGCGTGAATAAAGGGATCGGACGACCTGGTGCCGATGTCCGCCGCAGGAAGGTTGCTTGCTCTATGGAAGATGAACCTCACGGTATATCCCGGAGGGGCATCGGGCAACGGGGTCGTGTCGAAGCCGCCGGACGGCTTCGTCTTGTCTTTGACCTTTTCCTTGCCCTCGGTATATAGTCCCTTAATATCGCCGGAATGATGATGCTGCTTCTGGTCGGGTGGCTTGTGACCGTTAGCTTCCGGATTCCGCAGGCCCTCGATTTTATTCTCGAGGTCTCCCTCCTTGTTCTGGGGCAAGTCATGCCCACTGGTTGATGGCCCACCATTTGATGATGATGGGACGGCATTTCCATCAGTGTACTGGTTCTCGGCGGACACGCCATTCAGCGAGTGACCGTTCGGTGCCGAGCCATTGGCTTCAGGCGCATCCGACGTACCGTTGGTTAAATGGCCCGTGACCGGTGTGGTGCCATTCGTGGTCCCATTGACTGCATGGCCGTTGACGCCCCCACTCGGCTCAGCGGTCGTCGTCGTCGGCATCGTTGTTGTCGGCTGCGGGACGGCAGAAGTCTGGGCTGGATGCGCCGTCGGCGTGGAGATTGCGGCGGCGGGTCCTGACAGCTGATCCGGGGAATGCGGATGCCCGTTGGGTCTTTGGTCGTCTATGGTCGACATTTCCGCGGGGCTGGTTGCTACGTCGCGGCGCTGAGAAAACGGTCGCCTTGGACGATATCGACGGACAGGGCTCTATGGCAGCTCAATTTATATCGCTTGCAGGTTGGTCAAAGGGCCCGAATGACTGGTTGGGGGCATCCGGTAAGCTTCGATGGACTGGCGAGGTTGACAGCAAGGCAGGCCAGTCGAGAGATGAAGTACCTAGGGAGGTAGGTAGAGCAGATGGCGGGAGATGCTATCAGAAACAGAACCCTGTAACGCAGTGATTGCCGTTGCCAAGACCCACACTGGACGATGTTGTCGATCACTTAGGGAGGGCAACCCTGCTAGGCTGAGCTGGGCTTGGGGGAGCGACGTCCAATGATATCTGATAAAGCACAGAAAGCTTGGCAGTTTGGTCCGAGACTGCTACCGAACGAGGGGAAAGAAGCTTTTGTTTTGTCGGGTGAATTACTCGGGCGGATTGGTGGCTGATGGCTAAGCGGACGGGTTTGGTTTGACGGACACTTATGCTTATGATTATGCGAAACGGGAGAGAAAGGCCTAACCTGACTTGTGTAGGTAGGTAAATGATTTCAAACAGGACAGGACCGGATATTCAAGGGACGAACAAAGGTACACTACGGCATGTACCCTTGGTGGCGTGTACGTTTTGAATGGTTGGCTTATGGGAGAAACGCGAAAGTCTGTGTGTGTGTGTGTGTGTATGAGGGAGAGAGAGAGAGAGAGAGAGAAAGGGGGGAGAAGAGAGAGAAGAGGCGTCTCTTGAGAGCTTGAAATGGAAAACAATCAGATGAGGGGCGGAGGGAGGGGCTGGTGAGGAGACTAGGCGAGCTTGCAGACGTCCCAAAGAAAGAGAGATGAGAGCGAGAGCGAGTGAAGGTGGAAGGGGTCCGAGATGATCACAAGCACATGGAGGCTGGCTCACTAACAGGCTCGGCCAGGTTTGGCCGGGGGTAAGGGAATAAGGCCCCTGCAAGGAAGAAAAATAAAGTAAAAAATAAAAAATAAAAAATGGACACTTCCCACCCACGATCAGCAAAGCGTCGCAAGCACTCTCGAACTGGCGCCGCAGGCTGACGTCATTTCTCAAGCAACCTTTGGCCAGCTTTGCACAAGCTGCGGCTAAACCGTGCCGAGAAGGCAGGGTTGCCTTGTAAGGTCTTGCCTAGCTTCAGCCAATGGGGGGGGGGGGGGGGCGCCTGGGCCCAAGTTCTCAATCTACTGCTTGTATCCAGCTTCTTTCTCGCCCCGAGGGCTCACTGTTTCACCATCACGAGCCTTTTCCAGAACACGCGAAACCCGAGGCCTGTACGTCAGAGCAAAGTCTAGTAAAATCCTGACGTGGACGGGCAATGGCGTCGATCTAAGGCTTGGCGCTAATGCCTACCACTGCAGTGATTCTGCTAAGGGTCTCACAGGGATGCCGGCTTCCCGGCTAGGTATTGTCTTGTCTCTGCCTTGCCAAGCCTGCCAGATTGACGAGTGGTCTCTAGCGATCGATTTTGTTACTGGGTAGTGCATCCCTCCGCCTCCGCTCCGCTGGTCTCAGTGAAGCTCCCCCCCAGGACACGGCCACTTGTGCCTCCGCCCCGGTCCGGAGCATGTCTGAGGCACCGGCCGACGACAAGCCATCGCAAGCGCTGCATCATCTACATCCCATCTTTGGGAGTCCCTTGAACATGTCCCAACGCTTGCTACCATTTCTAAAATAGCATGTGTCCTATCCCCTGCTTCGTTGGCGTGCACCTTTCGCCGAGGTTCTGTTCGGACAGGAAACGTTCGACTGTAGAAATCAGAAAACCATGTCGGAACCCTGCTATCAACTGCTCAAGGCCTCATTTTCCTGTTACTGGGCCATTGCGTCTTTATGTTCTAGACGTAGGGTCATTGTATGCTCCATTACTAGCCATTGGTACTTCTTGCCTTTTTCAGTCTCATCCTGTCCTGGACACTCACTGCCCCCTTGAGGCCCGTAGACCCTGGCAGGGGGTGACTAAGCCAGCCCGTTCTTCACATCAGCTTCACTAGTGACAGTAGCAAGAAAATTTCTTCTTATCTACTTCTATTTTCTCTCTCCTACTTACTGGGATTGGTATTCTGTTTTAACACAGTGCGTGTACTACAAAGTATTTACAGCTACAATGCCTATTATCCAGGAAAAGGCATAACTGGCCAGCTACCTAGTCCTCTAAGAGAGCCTTGCAGGTAAAAACAACAAAACAATCCTCTTAACTCTTTCTATTAGTTACCCTTGCTTCCTAATATTAACACAAGTGAGTGTTCTAAAACTATAGAATCTTTATATCTAAAGTAAGGATTACTGTTAAATAATATGCTATAAAAGTAATGCAAATAAAACCGATAATAAAAAATGATTTAACTGCTGATAAACTGTTTCTTACTAGTACCTTTGTTGATCTTATGCCTCTCCTAGATGATGCTTGTATCTTTGAGGCTCAAGGACCCTCACAAGGAACAAAGACGCTAACCTAATCAACACCAGCTCTTCACGTATGACTGCAACAATAGATTGCGTTTTCACCTGTCTTTTCCTTCTCTTTTCCCCTTGACAACCCAAGTACCTGCCTATATCAAGTCGCCCTTGCCCGTTACTGTCTATGAATGTAGGGCCTGTTGTCCTGCTCAGCCGGTACATTTCCCAGGTGGCCTGTCTTTCACAAAAGCTTGCCGGGTTGGAACTACAATGAATACCCTCTTCACCTTTTCCCCTCTTTCCTTCTTCTGAATTTCCCTCTTCTTCCTTTTCCCAAAATCAAAGCCAGGTCTGTTCATCAGCCCAAGTTCTCTCGCTGTCAACGTCCGCCAGCCCAAACAGGACGAGAGAGACTTCCAAGATGGCAATCATGCGTAAGTTCATCAGCTCTTCACCTGAATTCCTTTGACATGTTCTTCTTGCTGTCATTGTTATTGCTGGCCGGTTCAACTCAAACTGACACCGCCTCTGATGGCCTGGCTGTCAATCTTGACACATCACCTTTGCCTGGCAATACCAAGTACTGATCGTGTTTACAGAGCAAACCTCAGCACTCAATGGAAAAAGTCCCCAGCGTATGAAAGGTGTCAATAAACACCTCCAGTATGTCTTCATTTCAGACCCTTTGTGACAGCCTCAACTGACGCAAATCATTACAGTTCACAGGGAGCATACACTTTTCTCACCACCGGTAGCAGAAAGCACACTGGCGCTTTGATGAAGAACGGCAACTCGGTCGACAAGGCCACTGTCAAGCATGAGCCAAGCATGAGCCGGGTTCCCCGCAGCGACAATGAGGCTATTCATTCTCTGTCTTCCAAATATGACCACCACACTCTGTTGGGACAGAAACTACAGAGCATACCTGAGGGTTTTGCCCTGGGCGGCTTCTCCCAGGTCGACGGCGCTGCCGGAGACCCAATCATGCCGCTAGGCCCTGGTAACATACGAATCCCGGCCAACCTAGTCAATTCGTTCATCTTGGTAGACGCTGGTCCCACCGCTCCCGTCTTCGAGCTTCCTCAGGCCCCCGAGCAAGCTTCCAGTACTATTGCTAGAGCCTTCGAGCTTGCTTATGTCGACAAGCCGCATCACTCCGACCACCATGGCTATGCTATGCCTTCTGGCTCTCATGGCCTTTCTGCCAACCATCTGCCGGTCGGTATCAAGGATGAGTTAGTCTCGTCTGAGTTGATCAAGCCGGCTAGCCTCGTCATCCCGGCTGCTGTCTCTGATGCTCCTGTCACCAATGCAGCGGCTCCAAAGGCTGCCACCAAGCAGGGCAATGGCATTGATTCAAAGCGAGGCCACGACAACGCCTCTGACTCTAGTGGTTCAACTACTCCCGACGCGTCCAGTACCTCTAACGAAGACGTCGATATCGAAGAGCAGAACGACGACGAAAATAGCGAGACGACCGGTGAGGAAGCTCCAGAGGACTCGGGTCACGATTCTTCCGATGGAGAGTCTCCCGATGGAGATTCCTCCGACGAGGAGTCATCGGATGAGTCTTCGGACGAAGAAGACGATGCGACCCCTGGCCTGGCCAGAGTTCGTGCCCTCAATCTTCCCCCGGGCCTCGCCTTCGTTAGGGTCAACGACGGCAAAACCCGATGGCCCTGCAACCAATGCCATCGCGACTGGTCCCGCAGAGACGAAACCCGTCGACACTTGCGGAATGTCCACTACCCCAGACTGTACAACCGGGACATTCCGATCCAGAAGGGCTTGGAGCAGGCCAGACTAGACTGTCCCTGAACGCTGCCCTATCATCGCTTTGGGTTTAGTATGCAGCTATTACCTACGAGACCATATTTTGTCTCCCCATCAGGAGTTGCCGTTGAGTTCGAGTATAGCAGTACTTGTGGAATGAGAAACCGTCATTAGGCTCCCGATCTTTGTTCATTGTGATTTGCTGATGCGCAGTGTCATGCTGATCTGCGAGGATGAACTTGACTCTCTTTCAAGTCAACCAAGTGACACATGAACAGCGTTTTGATGAGAGAGCATGAACCTGACGACGGTTGGAGGGCTGGACATGGCCTATAGCCTGAGCGGTAGCTTTGCACTCCCTTAAGTAGCGTCTCTGTCCCACAAGTCTCGATCGCGGCGTCATCCGACACCAGAAACTAAAGATTCATGGGGATTGATAGTTCCAGCTGGTCATGGAACTGGTCGAGGTAATCCGCCAGGCCACCGACGAACCAACAATCAGACTAGGATCAAGGTATACGACGCGTAGATATGGGCGACACTATGTATGCTGTGAGGGGCAGAAATGAGAGGATAGAAAGAGCAACCAAGGCAGGAAGAAATTCTTTAATGGAGAGATGTTAAGATGAGAGAGCCGCATAAGAGTCACGATCTCTGTTTGTGTAACGGCTATTATTAATCAATTCTACGTGGTAAAACAATGGCGACTCTCGATGCCAGAATATAATTGCGTCTCACTTTATGATGGCCTCGCCCGGAAATCCGTCAGTGGTGATATATCGTGGGGAGACGAAGTCATTGACAGAGGGAAGAGGGCAACGAGCGAATGGTGCCACACCGCTGTATCATTAGAAAATTCGCTACACCGAATGAGTCATCTCCAACCCCAAAGTAACTGCCTTCAAAGAGTGGTGATATTCCTCTTTACTTGGAACAGCCTTTCCATCATTCATCATCTCTACCACTTTTTGCTTCCCTTTACAGCGCCGAAGTATTAAAGCATGAACGTTCGGCCCGACATCAACATCAACATCAAGCTCAACATGGCAACCGCAACCAGCTCCATCGTCGTCGCATCTAAAAACCCCACCAAGGTCCGGGCAACGCAGCTTGGCTTTGAATCTGCCCTCCCGGGCTCCTACACCATCCGCGGGGTCAGCTTTCCCTCCGGCGTGCCCGACCAGCCGCTGACAGACGAGGAGACGCTCCGCGGTGCTCTCAACAGGGCGCGCGGCGCGCAGAGCAGCGAGAGGGAGGCGGACTACTGGGTCGGGATCGAGGGAGGCGTCGACATGTCGGACAAGCGAGAGGGGCCGATTATGAACTTTGCCTGGGTCGTGGTGCTCGACGGCCAAGGCCGCGTGGGAAAGGCGCGCACGGCGGCGTATTACCTCCCCGAGGAGACGGCCGCTTGTCTCCGGCAAGGGATGGAGCTTGGGGACGCGGACAACCTCGTCTTCGGGCAGACGGACACGAGAAGCAACAAGGGGTCGGTCGGGTTGTTGACGGACGGTGTTATCGACCGGACTGCGTATTATCACCATGCCGTCATCCTGGCCCTGATTCCGTTCAAGAATAAAAACTTGACGTTCGTGTAAAGCGATTTGACAGGCTGCGAGGTTTGCACGTTGCGATTGGCCGTGACTGGCAGAGCGATGGCTTCGATTACTCGGGAACTCAAGGCGGCAGCGTGATCAACATCATCGCTTTCGAATATGATGACTTGGCCATCATATATAGATAGGGTCCTTCAACACAGGTTAACAAGATTTGATACCCCAGAACCCATTCGAACTTCTTGGTTCACCAACGACGAGATGACAACATATACTTCTCCAGACTTCAAGGGTCCCAATGATATCGAACCAGACGGACTTGTGCTTGGCAACCTCTTCGAGATCTCTCTGGCCCACGCGGCAAGGATCTCCAAGCACCGAGGCCGATCATCAACTTCTTCAGGTTGGTAAGGGGGGCAGAAGTGGAGTGGGAAGGGAACCAAAGTTTAGGGGTAGCACCATGCACGGGCCAAGGATTCCACAGGGCTGGGCCTCGGTCCCGTCCCCTGGAATGTGCACTAGGGGCGCTGAACCAGCCAGCCCTCAGTGGCAGGGTAGCCCGAACATCTCTCGCCCTCTTCGTCTCGGTGCGTATCTCCTCGGCCTTGAGGAGGGGTGTTTATATGCGGGAAATCAGCAAAGGGCGACACACCTACCTACATGCATATCTAGGTAGGCATTAAGGCCTGGTCGCGAAAAGGGTGACAATTCGTCCGAAGCTCGATTCCTCCTCTTTGACGCAACGGAGGTTTGTGCCACTCCTTTCATTTCCTAGTGGCCTCATTTTTCTCCTCTCTCTTTTTCGAACTCTCTTTCTCCTCTTCTACCATACTTTCTTGCAAAGGAGCCATACTCCCCCAACCATGGCGAGAAGACAACACTTATCGTTAATGGTCCTGCTGGCCGTCGTGGTCTTCTTCAGCATTTCGTACCTCTTCTCGAGCAGCACCAGCGAACCCTCATCGCCCGCGCCGCCGCCCGCCGCCGCCGCCAAAGGCGACTCTCCCGAGAGCGCCGACATGCCCGACCTAGATCACATTTCTGCCAGCATCCTCACTGGCGAGTCCATCGCTCCGAAGTTGGAGAATGCAACTGCAAAGTAAGTTTTTCTCCTGCTCGCATGCTACCCCCCTCCCAACGGCCGCCACCATCTGCATGCGCCCACAGTCCGCTTGCCCAGATCCCCGGGTCGCGACGGTGGACTTGACAATCGAGGCCGCCAAGGTTGTTCGGCCACAATTGACTGACCTTCTCCCACAGAGCCGAGCTCGGCCGCGCCTCGTGGAAGCTCCTCCACACGATGATGGCGCGCTTCCCCGAGAAGCCTACCCCCGACGACAGACTCGCCCTCAAGACGTACATCCAGCTCTTCGGCCGCCTCTACCCCTGCGGCGACTGCGCTTCACACTTCCGCACACTGCTGGCAAAGTACCCTCCCCAGACGAGCAGCCGGAACGCTGCCGCCGGCTGGGCCTGCTTTGTCCACAACGAGGTTAACACGCGCCTGAAGAAGGAACTGTTTGACTGCAGCAAGATCGGTGACTTCTACGACTGCGGCTGCGGCGACGAGGACAAGAAAAAAAAGGAGGCCGAGGAGAAGCCCAGCTTAGAGCTGGAGAGGGACGGGTAAGCTGACGATGCCCCGGACGGCCAGTGAGCGAGCCGAGATGCTGACAGCCTTGCAGTCTGACCAAGGGGGGTTAAGATAACGGTACTATGGGCCAACCGGGAAGCGTACTTTGTATATCTTGGACATATCAGCGCTGTAACATATCAAACATGTAGAAGATTTGTATAACGACGGATTTATCTCTGGGCCGGTGGTATGGAAGACGACTGGGCCCAACGACCAGAACCTAGCCTATACTGTGATCTTGGAACGACTGCACTCGCGATGGCGTGGCACCGGAGGTGTGAGACGATATTTCCTCAATTTGAGGCTTAATATCTGGGGGGGTGAAGCTCCCGTGGGGATTTGCTCAGAAGTGGGGAGACCTTCCAATTCCGCCCGGCATTGACATGTCACCACGCTGATTCTGGTGATTTTGAGCCCCCTCGGGCCTCGGGCCAACTTGGCCCTTATTGACCTCTGTCAAAGTTGCAATTTATAAAATGGCAATATCCTTCCAAGGATACCTTGCAGTACCTAATTGCACCCATCAGCGCAGGTACAAAGGCCCGGCAGAGATTCCCATGTCTTATGTAATATGCAGTCACGTGACTGATATGGTCAGTGTTTCCCGGGTGGGCAAGGCCACACGCGTTCTGGAGCTGCCTGAGCTTCGTCAAGCTCCAGCCTTTCCCTCAGCAACCGACCGCCTGCCGCCGCCTTCCCACCGACGACACATCAAACGAACCCCGCCGAATTTCGACTCGAACCTTTCAACCCCAAGCAATAGACACCCGATTTAAACCAACTGACGATATTCGTACGCAAACCAAAATGGAGTTCACTACCACCGGAATGTTGAACGAAGGTACGGCTGCTGTTGGTGGGAAAGCTCGATGATGTACCATGGCGGGACCACGGAGGGGACATGGGCAGCACAGCAGGAAGAGTTGTCAGCTAACTTCTGCGGGCGGACAGATGGCATCCACCTTGACATGGAAAGATTAAAGAAGGGCGAGGTCAAGTGAGTGATTTCCCCAGGATGTTAGATGCCTCTTCATGGATGTAAAGCTAATGACGTTCGCAGCCTCGGAACCTCGATGTAAGCTTCTACCCCTTGGTCGTCCGCCCTCGGGACCCCCCATCTGGGACGCAACTGACACTCACGACAGTATGGCAGTCACATTCAAGGACGGTGTTATTCTCGGTACGTCATGTCATTCTCCCGTCTCAATAGGCCGGTCACTGGGCCACACCTCGGGTGCGCGTGCTGGGGATGATCGCTGACATTCGACAACCATCCAGGTGCCGACTCCAGGACAACGACGGGCGCGTACATTGCCAACCGTGTTACCGACAAGCTCACACAAGTCCACGACACCATCTGGTGCTGCCGGTCAGGCTCCGCGGCCGATACCCAGGCCGTCGCCGATATTGTCCAGTACCAGTTGGGCATGTACGCCATGCGCAACGGAAAGCCCCCAATGACGCAAACCGCTGCCGCTATCTTTCAAGAGGTCTGCTATGCCAACAAGGACCGCTTGACGTGAGTTTCCACCCCCGCTGTTTGTCTCGTTCCACTACATGGACCCTCTTCCCCTCGTCTTTGTATATCCGCATTACTGACTCTCCCCCCTCAAGCGCTGGCCTCATCATTGCCGGCTGGGACGAGCGACACGGTGGCCAGGTCTACTCGATCCCCCTCGGTGGCTCCCTACACAAGCAGTCGTACGCCATCGGCGGCTCGGGTTCGACCTACATTTACGGATACTGCGACGAGCACTGGAGGGAGGGCATGGAGGAGCAGGACGCGGTCGATTTCGTCAAGGGGTCGCTCAAGGAGGCCATCAAGTGGGACGGAAGTTCCGGCGGTGTCATCCGCATGGTCGTTCTGACTGCCAAGGGCGCCCAGAGGCATCTGTACCTCCCCGACGAGGACTACACGGTGAAGCACTAGGGTGTGTGCGTTTCTTGTGAGAGGGAGATGACAACGCCGGGAACGGTTGCTTGAGGACAAAAAGCAATGAGATGCAGAGTTGCTTAAATGGCTCGGCGTCAAGGGGGCGAGTGATACATCACACAGGCTGGCCGCCACGAGTTACGAACGAGCCTCGGAGGGCATTCATGCCGAGGTGACGACACACTCGAATCTTGGCGGACGAAACAATGAATGTACAATAAAATAGATTACCCGCAAGATGAGAGATGCTCTACTAGAGGATGATGATATGTGCCCTCCATGACATTAGGTTGGTACGGTGAAACAAGGGCTCGGCGGCTCGCGTGGCCAGGAGGGGTCGGAAGGCGACGGGCGCTCCGCTACGACGTGAGACGTGAGTCGTGACGCCAGGCCCCATAAGGCCGGAGGCCCGGTCCCCCGGTCCCGGAGAACAAGCCACTGGGGAACACGCACTCCCACGCGTATGCACGACGCAGGGAGGACATGGAATAAGGGTCCGCCGCGAGCGAGACCATCCTCGGATTTGGAGGCGGTGAGGATGGGGAGAGGGGGGAGATTTAGCGCCGCTCGGCTCTGCGGGTGACGAGGAGCGGGAGCGAATCAGGGAAAGGAGCGGAAGGGAGGAAGTGATCCTCCGCCCGGGCTTCTCACTGTTTGACATTTTGATGCGGAAAAGGTCTACCTACCTACTGTCAACGAGTGAGCAGCGAGAGGACGCGGTGGACGGTTTACTAAGGTGCACTAGGTGACTAGGCAGGCGCCAGGCCGGCATGACACGCCATCCGGGGACAGGGTCTCGTCAGTCCTCCGGGGGGGGGGGGGGACGAGGGCCTCTACCTACCCGATTCGACCGATAGAGATAGGCCTGGGTTTACATACCATTTTGTCGCGCCAAGCTCTCAGCATCTTGATCTGCGGGGGGGGGGGGGACGAGATGGAGGCGCCGATCGTGCCACTGGCTCCTCGGTCACGGTTTAGGAAAAGGCAGGTAACGGCGGTTGAGCGGAACGTGGGACGGGCTCTTGGAGATCCGGTGTGCCACGAAGCCTCTGGCCCATTTTTTTTTCTTTTTCTTTTTTTATGCTTTGAATGGCTTTCACTTTCAAGTGGGAGATGGGTTGCGGTGAAGATGAGCTCGCACAGCATATCTGTAGTGTAGGTGTGTGCAAATTACCTAGCAAGATTAGATCGATGGGCGACGATTGGGACCCATGTCTGAACTTCTGCACGTGTGTCCGTGAAGTTGCACCCAAGGATCAAAGACCTCGTGCCGGAAGGCAAGCCGGGTATTGGCCGGGTCCCAGCCGTGCTGAGCCGGGGTGACGGGGATAAGGGGGGGGGGGAGAGGGGGCAGTCAGCATGGGAGTTGGCCGTCGGTGGTTGGAACTTGTGGAATGGGCTTGGATGGGTTGATGTTGAAAGCTTGTTTTTTGTTGCCCCTTTCGTGACACTGTTGGCATCCTGCGATGGCGTCAGCGCGACGGAAGGTCCCTTATGATTTTTACAGGCGGCAGACCAGAAATTTTGTCCCCTTTTAGCCGCTAAGAAACAACAAGCCGGTGGATGTCTAATTCGTCTAAACTGCCGTCTAGTCGATGTCTTATCCCGCGTCTTATTCTGAATGCGTGCATGTGTGGGATGCGCGGGTACCTGATCACTAATAATCGGGGCCTGGAGACGGGCTGACTCTAACAACCAGGTTACGGAGAGGCCGGAATGGCGAGCTGTCCCATCCAGCTCGTGTCCTGTTTCTTGACCGGGCTGGGTTGGACAAGATGCAACGCCAAGCAGGACCATACAAGGAAAAAAAAGGGGGGGCGATGGAGAAGAGCGTGGCTGAAGGCTGAATGCCGTGGAAGTCACGAAGACGATTTGGACGGAGGTGTATCCGTAGTCCCAACTCGGCCGGAGTACGGCGATGGGGCAGGGATGGTTCGGATAGACTGCGCAGTGGGTTGTCGTAGGTAGTTTACGTTGGCTATATCCGTGCTCGGTACGTAAGGGCCAGAAAGAAGTGAGTCTAGGCTATGACTGTCATGACGGAAGAAGCCTTTTAATTTTCCGAGAGCCATCCTGGCCATGGTAAATGTTGCGTGCCGCAGTGTACGAAAATGGATGGTGCGTTATGTTCAGCTGCGACTGCGGCCGGCGGCGTGTGGCCAGCCAAAGAAGGGGAGATATTGGAAAAGGGAGGTGGCAGGACAGCGGCTGCTAACAGGGGACAAGCCGAAAATCAAGCGGTACGTCCCTATCTACCTTATCCAAGGTCGAGCCCAGGACCCTCGTCAAGTCTCTTATCGGTGCCATCGGTTATCGGCGCAGCCAGTAAGAGGGCGGGACGAACACCCTCCCGGCGGCGTGGATGGGTCGTCCCTGGCGCCCATCCACTACCCAGTCGCCTGTTTTTCGTGACAAGATTTCTTGGTATCCGAACCCTCGAGTCTGGGCATGCGCCTCTCCGTACCCAAAAGGACAGTCGCGGGGGCGCGTCTTGGATACGTTGGACTGCAGCACGTTAATTACGCTTTGCCGGGATGGCCGTTCGCGCATCTGCGGGATATTTCCCATGGTGTGTCACTGCCCGTCCTGTGGCCTGTGGGTTATGGTTCTTCTATGCATCAGCCCTAACTCTGTCATTTCCGTTCTTTCTTATTCCCTCGTTGGGCAGCATTGTAAGAAGCCGGGGTTGGTAATGGGATGGGAAAATCAAGGTTCAGGGTCGACGGGATTGCGGCTGAGGAGGAGCGCAATCTCAATCGCCTGGTCTCTCTCGGAACGAGAGAGCTGTGGCCCCAGCATGGATAAAACGTGTGTGTATCGCGGGATATCGCATGGTGGAAGTGGAAGGGCAAGTCGTGGACTGACAGGGAACCGGGAGCGGGATGCAGCCACTTTGGACTTGCAACGATGGCACGAGCAGATTCGAGGGAGGGGACAAGGACCCTTGGGTTTCTTTTTGGGAGGGGGGATTGAGGACTGGCGGGCGACGGAAAGATTGACGACTAGCGCGGGTGTTTATGTCATCACATGTTTCGGGTGGTCCTCTCTTTTTTCGCCACAAGCAAGACATGTGGGGGGGAGAGAGAGGGAGAGAGAGAGAGAGAGACAGCTCACGCGCAAAGGGGATCAACACGACAAGATCGATGGTCACTTTACTACTACTTCTACTACTACTACTACGTAGGTACGGAGTAGATGAGAGCCTATCGATGTACGACTACGGTGTAGCAATACGTAGTGTGTATCCGTAGCCCCAAGCAACTCGAGTGACGAGACTCACAGACGGCATAGAGCAGAACGGCTGCAAGGCCAAAGCTGCATTTGGAGCGCGTCAAAAAGCAAAAAAAAAAAAAAAAAAGATGGAGCAACTGAGAGAGGTCACACACGTCAACAGGATACCTACCGTAGGTAGGCGTTTCCCATCGCAACGGGGTGCCCTGAGCGTGAGCTGGTCTGTACGTACTGGACACAACAAGCACAGCAAGTTCGAAACGCGTCAGCCACAACGGGGGATGCGATCGATCATCTTGGATCAATCATCTTCACCTGCTTTTTGTGCCGTCATCTTGTGGTGCGGGCTGTACGTGAACTCCAAGGTACTTTACCCAGACGAGCCGTTTCGTCGGCCATCTTTTCGCCATCTACCTCATCCGTCTCCACCAGACCGCCAATCTCTCAGGCAGGGTCCATGAAACCAGGCCCGCCTCTCACTCGCCCGCCATCCATCCCACTCTCATGTGCATCTTGGAGCTGAACTGACCAGGCCGTGGTCAGTCACCCAGATCAGATCAGGCCACCTCATCTTCCAGACGCGACTGTAGCTCTCTAGCAGTACACTGACAAAAAAACAACAACAACGGGAAAACGGATCACTCACTACGCGCGTTGCTCTCTTTTCTCCCAGTCGGGTGGGCGCTGCGTGTAGCAGAGTTCCAGCCCAGTCCATGGTCCGCTGTGCTCTCCACTGTCCTCATACCTGGGTACCTACCTGCCTGGTTAGCGTACGGGTTCGGGTCTGCATACCTAGGCCAACGATAGGTAGTCGGTCCCCACTTGTCTGTTCCTCCTAGGCCTGCCCATCTTGCACTTTCCCCCTCCATTCACCACACCCCTGTCGTCCCTCGCGCTTGCCCATCGGTGCCTTTCCCGCTTTTTGACATACCGTCTTCTCCCCATCCACACCACCTAACCTACTTGTAGGTACCTATCTACCGGTAGTGTACCACCTACTAAGGGTATGTGTACCCAGTATAGGTACCTGCCTACCTAGTAGTGTATTCATCCATCTTCCCGCCCTCCTTCCTCTCCTCCTCCTCCTCATCCTCCTCCTCTTCTTCCCCCCGATACAACTCAAAGAGTACATAGTAATGCAATATAGTATGGAGGGGCCGGCCTTCTTACAACACAATAAGGGGCCATGCGAGTTGAGCAAGCCGGGGCGGTACGCGGCAATAGGAATGGTGAAAGGGATAGTATCGCTTCTGGGAGGTAATTATTGGCGCCCACACTGCGTAACGCTCAACTTGTGACTTGAATCAACGCTGGATACTCCTTCGCAACCTATTAGACTCTACCGCCTGAATTTACAACGCAGCTTTTAGCTTGCCTGACGCACACGCCTTTTCAGATCAGGACACGTTTACACGAGACTTAGGGGAGGCTAATCAATATGAAGCGTTGATCCCTTATCGAAGATTCTGCGCCGTT